GGGGGTGAGCGAGGGCGGTGCCTGGAGGACGCGGCCTCACGGCAGCGCCAAGCCCGCGGTGTCGCGGGGAGATGAAGCCGGTTGCCAGGCTTGGCCCCCCGCGCCTTCTGTCTTGCCTCTACGTGCCTGACGTGTAGCATAGTGGGTCATCGGTGAGCGAGCTGTAAAAAGACCTATGCCACGGTGTAAGTTTGCCTCGAAAGTCTCTTAACCCGGCTGTACCTCTTGGGAGAAGCCGGGCAGAGCAACACTGAAGTCTCTCGGATAACAAGGTTGCGTACCTGCTCGCCTGCCCGCGGCGCTGCCCTTTGCGAGCAGTCCTTCGTCGCCAGGTCTGGCTGGCCTGTGGCCTTCGTCCCACGTCGGTAGCGACCCTGTCGACTGCAGCGGGAGGGGACGTGTAAAATGGACTGCCAGACCTCAGTTGTTTTTTCTGCGTTTGTGGCCAAGCGAAGGGAAGAGGGGAGACAGCTCAAAGCAGGGTTACAACAGGTTGAGCTTTTCATGCTGATGGGTACCTAGTGTCTACTGCCATTACAGTGTGATATGTGCATGCTAAGTCAGGAAGTGAAGGGATTTCCTGGTGATGTTGGGAAGCAGAAGTTGGAGTGAAACTAGATGTTACGTGGATTTATCCCCCACCCTGATAGGGACGTTTTGACACCTAGATTTCAGTAGAGCAGTATAGTCCACTTCTAAAGATCACATCTCAACCCATCAGGTGTCTGTGCTTTGTGTAGACACTTCTGTGACTGGCACACAAGTCCCTAAAGCTGGTGCTGACTCAGGAGTTTGGCTTTGGATGTAATTTCAATGCAGTTGTGTTGAACTAACTGCTGACATGTAGGAATCTGTTACGGGAACAAACATTCAGGTTTTTAGTTGAAGATTCCTAGCTCTGTGATTAGGAGAAAAGCCAAATGAATGTGGATTGGTGTACAGTTATTCTTCAGCCTCCAAGGGATGACTTGAAGTTTGGTGTCTTGCGTGCGATACGTTTTAAGTCTAACAATGGCAATAACTGATATCTTCACTCAAACTTTTAGAAGAAACTTGAGCAACAGTCTTGATGTAGCCTGCCTTTGTGCACATGAAATCCAAATGTAGAGACTGATGCAGTTGCAGGGCACTTTCTTGGAAGGATTGGTAGGTCTAGAGTTCCTTAGACACATCTAACTATTTTAACTTGCTGACCTCTAAGGTACAGAGGAAGGATTCTGATTGAGGGAACCTTTTATCTCCTGTCTTTACTGTTGAAAATGACCCTTTGTTAAATGCGTTCAGTCAAAAAGCGCGCACAAATGTTATTTCTTAATTTTGCTGTACTGGATTTTATGCCTACTCAGCAGCTTCCCCAGATGAATTATTTAGGCTTAAGTTGAATTCTCAAGGACAGAGTGAGAGCTGTTGTGGTTTCTATTCTGGCATTTCAAGTCTTTGAATGAGGTCTTGGAGGTATGTGTGTAGCTAAATACTTCTTTTGAAGTGGGATGGGAGTCTTAATGCTGTCTCAATATAACATTTCTCTTATTGTTTCTTTCTCTCTACTATTTCTTGTTAAGAAGTTTGCCTTAATGTTTCCTACATCTCTCTTCCTGTGCAATGTGTTACTAACTCAGATAAGTTGCCTGTAGGCCGGCAAAGACTGGACACAGTACTCCAGGTTCCAGATCTTCACACATGCCTTTTCTGGGCTTTAGGTTTCCTTAGATTTGTTATTTGGAAAAACCTAAATGTGCTTTAATTGAAGAGAAAGAATGGATTAAGTGTGGTTAAGGTGCAGGTGGCTATAGAATAACTATAATGAGAGAAATTAATATGTCTGTTCTTGCTCCTCTGTTCTGTCCCATTTGCAATGATTATTCCAAATCTTTGTTCCTGCAGTGCTTAGACTACTTGCTATCACTACATTTCTTCTGGAAATTTCCAAAGATATGCACATGCACATGCAAATGCAAAGATTGCCTTCTCTTTGCTAATTGCTCATCAGTTAATGTTCACCTGCTTTTGGCTGGTGTTTTGCTGGACTTGTCTGGTTCAGTAGTGTTATTGGGAACACTGTAAGAGAAAGGAAAGGAATTATTTTCCTACCATCCTCAGGGATCTAACTGATATTGGTAACCCTTGATGGTAGGGTAGATGTCCAAGACTTTTCTGTGTAATTATGAGCTTGTGTCTTGAGAGGTAAGATGCCCACTAATGTTCTATGGAGGGTTGCTTTTGGTTTTCAGTCACTTGCATGATGTAGCAAGTTGTGTATTAGAAATAATAGAAGTGGAGATTTTTGGTTTTTTAGAAGCTGTTCATCATGCTTAATCATTTAGCTTGGGAGTTTTAAAATGTCATTAAAATAGCTCTCTGGTGTTACTGCTGTTTTCTTTGACTGGCAGAATAAACTTTGTGTCATACAAGTGATATTTCACTAATAACATACTTCAGGATACTAACATAGGACTAGACTCAATTAATATTTGAAGTGTTTAACAGGAAATAAGTACTTGTTGTTAGACCATGTCTATCTGGTGTTTAACTGTACCAGAGAAACAAATACTTTGGTAATATGTTTTGGAAATTGCCACAATACAGAAACTGGTAGTTTTTGTAGTAAGGTTCATTTGATTTGTACTACTTGTTTTCTGGGCAAGATTACACTATGGTTGTTCCAGTTTGGATCACTTTAAAGTGCAGTCAAAAGCTTGTGAACAAGAACTGCTTGGGGAAGAGTCTGAGTAATAAGGTATCTGTAAAACACAAGACTATAGGTAATGTTTTTCACCTTGTAAAGTGCCGTGTGTGAGGCTGTTAACTCGTGTCAGAAACACAGCCCACAGGTCAAGGTTTGCTCTGCACCAGCTGTGAGGTAATTGTGAAATCATTAGTTGGAGCCACGTACTGAAGCTCTTGCTGTTGGGTAGAATGGAAAAGGACACGAGCTGATGTGGTTATGGCCTCGTTATCAGAGGCTGATTTCAACCAGACTCCTAAAGTTTTATAACAGTTTCACAGGTATTACATACTTGGCAGCTGATGTTCATGTAACAAATGCAAACTCTTCTCTTTTTTTACAGAATCGGGCCATGTTCAGGTTTGATCCAGCAGATGAAGACAAAAGAAAGGTAAGTAAAATAGGCTGTTGGGCTGCATACCTGCTGCGGTTCAAAGTATAACAAAGGAAAAGCAGTGTCTTAGCTGCCATTGTGAAAGGGTGCAATCAGTGATTAAAGTTCTGTTTTCAATTTTGTTTCTTTAGTGCAAGAAACATGACAAGTACCCATTCCCCTTTTTTCTGAAAAACAAATCTGCCTAACAAAAAGCCCTGTCTTGAATAAAAGTAGTAACAGAAAAGCTTATAAAGAATTTTGTTGGGTACAGATTTGGGGTGGGGGAATAGAGTAAAGATACTCTTTTCTTCTGGATGAGAGATAAACATTTTGCAATATGCTTTTACATTTTTTTCTCCTCTCAGCAGGTAGCAATTTCTTGTCTATGTTAGATACTTAGAGAATATTAGAGATTAAGATGAAGGGATAAGTACAGAAGAAAGCTATGGAGCTTTAAGGGAGACAAAGCTACAGAAGCCTGTTAATCCAAAGGTAGCTGTAATCAGCAGAATGTGTAATGTGCATGTCAGGTTCCAAAGATGGGAAATGTTTGTGTGTATAGCATAGAGCTCTACAGGTCTGTCAGGGCTTAACAGGTCCCTTGAGATCCATCCACAGCCTCATATTTAAAGCTTGGGATGGCCTTGATTTCCTCCCCTCCCCCCTGTTATTTTTATGGCATAATATGTAATGACAAGACCCTTCCTATCTTTTCTCTAATTAGTTTTTGGGCTGATTTGCATATTTATTCAGAAAAATGTTCATCAGTGAATGAAGCTGCATGTTTCCTCTATTCTGGAAATAAACTCAAAGCTTGAAATCAGAATTGCAACATTCCTGCAAGGATAGCTTGTCTCATATTGGACACACATCAGTTCATTCCATGATTTTGTGTAAAATCTAAATATTTTCAGGTCTTAAGTCTTTTTCTGGTAGAAATGGGTGGGATAAGTCTCTCTGTCCTTTGCATTTACAAAACCATCAGTTATGTGTACAGTAATCTTAAGTGACAATTGTTTATTGCACAGATGACTTGAAGACCTCTTAGCTTGGCTTCACTCTTGTCTGCAAGTATGCAGTTAAGCACAAAAGTAATAGTGAAAGTTACATAAAACTTATGGTATATATTGCTGTTGTGTCTCATAAATCAAACTAAAATAAAACCAGGAATGTGGCCTAGAAGCCTTCTTCAGTCTTCCTGTAGAATAAGTTTGTTTCACAGCCCTGGGAGCTCTCTGAAAACACCTTTCCCTGCTTTGCTTTTTATATCTTACAGAACAGCTGTTACAGACTTCATGAGATTACCCCCCGCCTTGCCCCCAGCTGATATATGTAGCTTTCTTGATTGGGATTTAGCTATGTGTTAAATGCAGAGTTATAACATGATTTTAATGGGAAATACCTTTAATTTATTATAGGATATGGAAATTTGAATCAGCGTTTAAAGCTGTAGTTGAGCAATAGCCAGTGTGGCAAACACTTAAGTATGATTGACAGTTTTGCAAGCTGAATGTTTTAGAGGTGTGCATACAGTTGAATAATGTTTTGTTCAATGTTTTAAGCCTGTTGCTGTAGTTGGTTGTGGCTTCTGTCTTGCTAAGAAGTATTCAGAAAATCCTTGATAGAATTACTACTTGATTGGTTAAGTTTTTGATGCATTTTCTGGGCAAATTGTTGTTCTTTCTGTGACATTAACTTAAAGCTGAATGAAGCTTATCAAGGAGTGTTTAGGACAGTAGACAGACTTAACAATTCTGCTTAACAATTTTTTATTCTAAAAAGAAGTTTCTTTAAATTACATTTTCATAGCGTTACTTCCTCACTGGAAAAGACGTTAATCATATGTGATCAGAGTCACTAATATAAAGGCAGCTTTTGTGTGCACATACTTGCTAATCAACAGCTGTGGGGCTTTTTTGTTCCTGAATCTACCCTCATGGTTATCTGGGAAGTAGGTAAGAAAAATACACCTCTGAACAGATGCCACTGAAAAATTCTACAGTTCCAAAGCCTCAAAAGACCTACATACAATTATTAAATATTTGGCTTTATCTATTGCTTTACTCAAAACTGATGTTCAGTAATGTAGTGACAGGACTATGCATGTCATTTTTAATCTACATATTTGCTAAATACCCTTAGTGTCTGTAAAACATTCAGCATTCTCTTGTTTACACTTCAGTTACGGTAAAAATAAAACTGCTTTAAATTGAAAGGTAAAATGCTACCATGCTCTTGCTAAGAGCAAACTACTGAAATTGTCACCACAATTAATGGGGGTTGCTAGAAGACTTCATGATGTAGGCTTGTGCTAATACAGAAACAAGTTCCGTTTTTTTGTTTAGTAATGCCAAAATACACTTGAGTTGACGGTATGCACAGTTCTGCTGCTATTAGCTTAGAATGATTGCAGTGAAAGAGAGTTCAAAGGATCACAATCCATAATGAAGTCATGTAGTAGAATTGACGTTCAGGTATGGGGGCAAATACAGAGGGACTTCAGGATTTTGTCTTTGGTTTCTGGTGCTATTGGAAACTTGCCATGTAACCCGATGAATGCGATACGTACTTATCAGTCTCTTGCTGCATATTGGGTTTGTTCATGCCTGGGAGTAAATTTTCTTTTAGTTATTTATTCCAGCAAGCCTCACAGACTTTGTCAGTCATTCACGTCTATGCAAGAGTTCAAGTGAAAGATCAACAGTAGCAATACAAGTTTTTTCTCTGCCTCACCACACAGCTTCAGCCATGACCTTAGAATTACAGCAAGGTTGTGTCTATAGTGTAACTGTATTGTAATGTAGGCGTAACTGAGCTTTACACTTTTCTAGATTGGATACTGTTAGGGAGAGGACAACCTGTATAAAACAGTGATACGCTGTAAAATATAAAAGACAGAAAGGTCAAAACTATGGCTTGACTATAGAAGCTGGGTAAATCGGACAGCAAAAGCTGTTCTGCTATAATATGGCTAGCAAATAATGATGCTTTAGCCTGTAAAATAGCTAAATCAACAATCAGTTTGTAATACTGAGCTCTAGGAGGAAAGTAGGTTGTGTCCTCTAGAAGGCAGGAAGAGAGGTAATGTTGTCAGGCTTGTCTATCTGGACAGAGCCACAGGACTTTAATACATCACAGGATGATAAAAACCACAAGATTGTAATGTGAGCTGTTACTTGTCCTGGTTGTTTTGTTTAATGATGGATGTGTCTGCATTGGCCTATGTGATGGGTGCTATGGGTATAAATGAGTTGGCAACCTATGTTGTACTGTAAGATCTACTCGGATACCAGGCAGATCAAGTTGGTGCCATTCCTTCTGAACTTATCATATGCTAACAAAAAAAAAAAAAAATTCTGAGAGCCTGTTTTCAGTTCGTGTGTGTAAACAGTATAGAAGTTGCCAACCAGAGGTAAATGTGTTCTGGAATAGCAGCTGAAATGAAGGCAATGTAGTTGCTTCGAAGGAGCTTAACCAGCTCTTAGAAATCTAAAATATTTATTTGCCTTGACCAGCCAAGAAGTTCTTGACAAGTGTTTTGCTGGGAAAGGTTGAGTCTTCAGAACTCCAATGCTTCACAGCAGCGTGGCATGGTTGACACAAACAGTTGGTTCTTTAGGTCTGTGCTGGAATCAACTATAGAAAATGAATATCTGGTAACTTGACTGGGCAGTCACCTTGGGGAGAGGTGTCAGGCGTAGTGTCTCCCTCTCGATGTGACACAGCAGGCACTTCAGCTCAAGCCTCACCTGTCCTAGTACAAAAAGGGAAGGTTTTTTTAGAACCACTTTCTCATTATTTAATAGCTTTGTGCTCCGTTATTTATACCTTGACAGGTCCAAATCCTGCTTCTGCAGTAGCAACGCATTTGTGCTGGGTACAGACATAGAATGGTAAGAAAATCCCAGCACTGTTTGTGTCCTGGAAACATCTGTCAGTACTGATTCCCTAGTTAGCTGTGGCATTCCACAACTGGGAGGAGCTACAGCACCATTTGCCTAGGGGATATAATGGAAAAAGTAATCTGTCCAAGATAGCAAGCAAGACTGACTTTAAATTGGATGAAGATGCTGAGTTTGGGGGAGGAAGAGGAAAAAAGGAAGCAGCAGCCAAATGTGAGAATTTTGCTCATAAGCCGTATCCTTACCTGAAATGGTAGAGTCTTCATGATTGACCTATTTCCTCTTCAACTCCTTATGTTTTGTCTGCTTCACCTCTTGTAGTACTCATAACATCTGGCTCTGGCTTACTGTGTTGGGTCAGTCCTGTAATATAAATCTTTAAAGTTTGAGATCAGTTTTCTTGATTTATTGTTCTTGATTTATTGTTCAGGTTCAATTTGAACATAATGGATCTAAAATTCAAGGCCTCCTTTAGTGGGAAGAAGATCACCAAAACAGTCTTTTCCCCTGCATTGCTGAATGTTTTAAAGGTGTTGAAATAGATGATGGTAAATCATATCAAATGTATTGTGGGACTTTCTCTCCTAATTAAATTCATGATGTGGGGAGATTCCTTAAGGCTGTGGACTGTACCATATTTGAACTTTGGAAGGATGGAAGCAGTAAAGTATGTTGATGGAGCAAGATGCTGTCATGCTCTAAATCTCAGAAGGACCTCGTTATTAGTGCTGTTGACGCTGCAACACTTCTGGGAGGTCTGAAGGTTCCTGCAGCCACAAAGGCACAGAACTTTTCTCCTCCCAGTAACTTTGTTGCAAGCTTTTAAAGTCTGTTAGTGAGTGTCCTATAAAAATACTAAGCTCAAGGGCTCCTGTGGGCACACTGTGTGGTATCTTAGTATTAATTATTGTTGTTATTGTTCTGACTTTGCTGAAACCACTTAAGGGAGTATCAGTCTGCAAGAGAAGAGAAGTTACTAAGTATCCTTCATTAATACTAAGCATTTGTTCTAATTACTGCTGGTCCTGCCCACTCCCATCCAGCATTTTTTTGTTTTTACATCTCTTAAAGTTTATGTCAAGCCAGTGAAACCCACCTCTCCTTTTAAAACCC